ATTTATAAGGTTAAAACTGAATATATAGAATAAGGTGTATATAAATTATATTGGATGTAATAAGGAGTATGTAGTATATATAAATTATAATGTCGTAGATGATCAGCTTACTAAAAACACGGGAAGCTTTGATCTATTTTTGTTGATCAGTTAAAATGCAATCTATAACTACAAACAAAATTACTCGAGTATACACGTGCCGTGGTGAAACTAACGTGAAATTAACATGTCATGAATATTTAATTCGATAAAACACACAAACCATATCAATATTAATTTATATATGTCTGCATTGGATCCGTTTATCTCAAAACAGCATACAGTGTTTAATATTATGATCGAGTTGTCTGGCAACCACTCGTGACGTGCACATAGATGTGAGTATCTCTGCAACTGTCGCAAATATAAGCTCACATATGTTACAGCTATACAGCTATATGTATCAACAACAGCTTTCAGTTGCACACATCGTTCGCTATTTTCATCAGTTGCCTGTAATATTTTATAAAAGGCGCTGGTATACAGTAAGCTCAAAATATCAAAAATAATTATGCCGCCAGAAAGGCCAAGCAATGATACTATTTATACACGGGATACAGGTTACGACATAATAATTTTCGGGGACGTGATTCCCGCTGTCTAGATATATCTAGATATGTCATAAAGTCTGCTATGATGGTTCCAGCCTCGTTCCCAGTAAGTCGTGTAACTATACAAAGACATAATTTGCTGACTTACATGCACCGCTAAATAGATCCAATACATGTTATCATTGCGGCCGACTGACAGCATATACTAAATCATTTTCCATAGTTATGTGAATTTAAATAATGTGATATGTATATAAAACCAAAAGTATTAAAGATTCATCAACCCACGGAGGCGACTACGCCACAATATTTGCCCCAGTTTCACGAATATCGCTCGTACGGATGAACTGGTCGAAATCGAGTGGTACACTCCCGCTGGGTTGGTTATCCTCAAAATATTATAACTTCATTTTAAAGATTATTGTGAAATACAAAAATAACTTTAAAGCTAGCAATACAGCGATTATAGCTGCACCAAGCGGTGACGCAAATTTATATCCGTATTACGGCGTTGCAAGATTTATTCCTGTAGTTTATTGTTAGCAGGAACGTCGATTTATGTAAAATCTACTCAATCGACATATTTTCAAAGAAATACGCCAATTAACGCCTTATACTCGACAGCTTCTTGATTGTTGACACAACTGCCAGGTACACGAGCGAGCCACTGCATACAACAACATCAGACATCAAATAAAATACCTCAGTTACACGCCTTTATTCTTGTAATGTCAAAGCTATTAATGGAATTGTAATAAGAGACTTCATCCAAGGTGCTCGACATTGTGCAATTGTGCAATAGTGCTTAATATACTAGTAGATTAATTGGGGTGGTCGTCTCTCCCATTGTGTACACACATTCTCGTCTTTGCCCTAGACTAGTTATCGCGCACAGTGACAGTGGGCGGATCCATATTTGATTTTACCCGTTCGATGACCCCAATGAACCGACTCCGATTCACCCCTGTCTTAATGCCATTATTAGTATTATTCATAGGTCGACTACATGTCGATACATAACACATGCATCGAATCAGCTTTCACATGGTAATTACCTGAGCTTTATATAACAGGCAATTGCACCGTGTTTTACAGCATCAAAGAATCGTACAGACGAGCTAGTGTGTCTTGATATATCATACAGTATGACAGCCTTATATCATCTACTTTTATTCATCCTAATTTCCAGGTAAGATATTATCCACATTCCACGACACCTATATAGAAAATTCAAGTATTTGTTTATCTGATTCTAAAGAAATGACGAATGAATGCATGCACCGTGTCGTACACACACGTATTCATGGGTGTAGCTAGTGACAACAAATCTTTCCGCTGTGTTTTATAACATACCATAACACACGCTCTCGTATGTATAAGTCCAGTTTATCGTGAATAAAACGTCGGTAGACTCTAGTGATTATACATATGAAATGTGCCACCATATATAGATATTAATCACATTATTCCTAGCAATATTGTTTAATTTCAAGAGGACACAATTAAAAAGTACAAAATTATACATTGCTAATGTAATAACACGAACAAATGGGAATGGGAATTTACAAATCAATCCCTTCTCCGTTGCCATATGTACTGTCAACTTCCTGCGCCATGTCTATGCCAGCCACATGTACCTTTCATCCCGACATCTGTTTACTGTGACTTAACGTTTTGTGCTCAGAGTATTCATCATGCCATTGCAATGTATATATGTCGATGTTTTCATTGTTCCAATTTAATAGTGCTCATGTGACGATACCAGCGACGACGCCGATGACGATGTCGACGTCGATGAATAATACACATTCAAAGAAGAGAATCAATGAAGTTTTAACAGGGAACTATGATAAGAAGTATAGACCAAACATGCATGGTAAGGAATGAAATGACTTTGAGTTTCATTGACGTCGCCTCGGACGAAACATTGTGTATTTAATAGTGGCACATTAACATATGACATCATCTATGATCTCGGCACATCACCAACCCAGAGCAGAGATTAGTAGAACGTGGCATAATCTCGTGTCAAGCGATCTAACACCGGGGAGGTCGATTTCGAACAGTCAGTACAATGCGGAGTGTACACAATTCGTTTGTATTATTGGCACTCTTTGCATTAATGGTTTGTCGGTTAGGGCAGCAGCTCTGTCATTGACCTTTATTCTAGCAGTACTATGCGTATTTTGTAAATATACAGTTATTATATCATACTATAGACATTATTACCCCAACAATCAGAATATATCTGTATTACGATTTATTATGTTCTCCTGAAAAATTCACTCAATTCATATAATCAAAAAAAATTATTTTGGTTCTATTCTTATATGAATGTTTACGTTATGTGCATAATGCAATATATCAGTAAATTAGATGTCGACTCGGTAATGGTGTTGGTTTTTGTGTGTGTGTAATTCTACTCTGAATATATGATTGAAGAGATAACACATTGAACGACTCTGGATATAGCTACGTCAACAAATGAAATGGGAATTTGAGTGAAAGGCTCTCATTAATGAAATAGTGATAGCCTTATGTGTATTCACGCTACTTCCATTAGTTGTATTTCCAGTCCTCAAATACATTTACGTGTAGGCTAACATATTTACAGTTAATGTGAAAATCATGCAAAGTTCAGTCAGACACACGTAATTCAACTAGGTTCTCAATGGTTACAATTGTTTATGGAGTATTGCCATATAAATTTAAAATAATGTTTTTAAAATTGAATGAATTTGTCACTAGGTTAATAAGTTAGGTTGTATTAAAAAATATTTTTCATTAGCCGTGCATAATATTGTAGGTTACAAAGCATTACAAATACATGGCACAAAAATGGGCCAGCCATTATTAACATTAGCTAAACAAATCTACGCAGGGGACTTCAATTGAAAACGTATACAACAATGTGAATTTTATCCGGGGTTCACTTTGGGGGCGAGAGACAGCTTCAGTTATAAACAAGAGGGTAATTTGCTAAACATGAAATGCTCATATGTTTTATTGCGTCACATTCACAAGGTAGTGGTGGCGGAGTTTTCAGTTCGCCAATTGGTCAGCATATATACAGATTTGCTAAACCGTGAATTCAATAATTTGTACCAGGAGATCACCAATTGAACAATTCATAGAAATCAGCCCATGAGCACATGTCATGGATCACAATTGAGATCACATCTCTCAGAAATTAGTGTGGGTTATTCACGGTGTGAATGACTTTTTGATAACATAATAATTAGGAAAACTAATTTGGGGCCGGAATTGTCTATTCTCTATACATACGAATAGTTGTAAACAAAGCATATTTCAAAAAGGCTGCCATCGAAAATGTATTTTATACTTGACAAGTATGTTAAATTGAATCTAACTCTGTCAGATTTGTTCATTTCGTGATGATAAATGTTTTTCTTTTCCAAGAAATATTTTTCCCGACTTGTCAGTACAGCTTAAACAACATTTTCTATTAGAATAATATAATATTTATTTATTATGTGTCACAAATCTCCAGTATCATAATTAGAGGTTTGTATGACGTCTTCAATGAGTCTTAAACTCATTTCAACAAAAAACAAAATAAAATTAACTAAACTTGTTTAATTCTGATAGTTGATATTATAAACTCCCTGTAGCGTCTTATTGGAATCGGAGAAGAGTCTAGTGCGATAAAATGTCCATCGATCTTACCATAGACTTGTCTTCTCATTCGATATGGCGATGTGGGGAATTCATTATTGCTTAACTAAATTATTATTGCATTTGTCAAACTGTGAATCAGATTGATCAAAAGTTTACTTCACTTTGAAAGTCTTCTGACAAGAAAACTCATATACAATTATGTTTGATTACAGAATTAAGTTTTACTTACAGAAGTACAATGCATATAGTATTTATATTATACACTGTTTGCAGTTCAAATAAACACAATATTTAAGGAAAAAAGTAAAAATACGAACAATTCTAAACATGTCAGCACTCCAATAGCTGAATGCTGTTATCATTTTTATAAACGTTAACAAATACATACAAATTACTAGTAGTACATTAAGCAGTATGAATCTGCAAGTACCTGAACTATCTCGTGTGTCCCGCTACATAAGTTACCGCACCAAGTTCTGTCTAAGCAGTGACAGATCGATCTACGAATAATTTATGAATAATTTTTTAAGTGATGAGTCTACGTGAGTGACAATTCATCAGGAGAAGTCGGGAATTCAGTGACGATTGTCGTCAATTAACACAATTGTAAATTTAGAGTTACTATAAATAAATTAAATTAAATAAATTCCAATATGTGCCAGGTATAAAAGTAAATGTCAAAACGCTATTTTATAGAATGTGTAATCTGAAAATTATTTTTTAAATATAATTAGAACAAGACAATCGGATTCCATAGTTTATGTTAGTTGTTGTAATTATACCATGATTTGACAGAATACTGTTACTTTATTACTATTATGCTGGCAATTTGCCAACCGATGACGATGTCATAGACAATTAAGACACTATCTCGTGTATAAAATCACTATCCTCAAAATGGGTTCATTTTTACTAACACAGACGTACAGCTGTAAAAATAGTAACAAATTCACGTGATGTGATGGTGCAATTAATATGTACATAAACCACAAAAACTGAATCCACAACCCGTCAGTTGAAATACCGAATTGACCTTTGACGCAAAAAGGTACCAAGATTTCGTACAGAGCGAGAGAGCCACAATACTTATTTTCCCCTCAAAAACCAGTGTTTAATTCTCATCCGTCATTTCCTTCACTGATGGCATCTATGGTATTCGAAACAGTAAACGCGATGACGTGAGACATTGAAACAATGTTTTATGAGAAAAACAAATTCCGTTTATTTGTCCTTCTTGACGAGATCTTGTCGGTCATTTGCATAAGTATAATTTGATATATACATAATATACTAAAGACGTCCAGATCTATTTTAAAATATAGAAGATTTTTTTTTAGAAATAAAACTCAATATAATTGTAAATTAAATAATTATTTGCCAAGCTCCGAAAGCATGATTTCATACTTACAAGGTGGAAACATTTCTGTCACATCACTCCTGCATTTACTGTAAAAGTCTAACATTCCATTAACAAGAAAACAGGTCTTTTTTAGTCTTTATTATAAAACCATAGGATATTCATGCCATCATTTTTTATGAATACTGAATAATAAGAATTTCAATAGAGTCTCTTAGTGACAACTCAATCTGCCATTATCTTCACAGGCCATGTTCGTGTTGGTTGTATTCCTATTGATAAACTGTGATCGGACAAAGTGAATGATTAATGTTAATGATGACTGTTCCTATTAGTCTGTCTTTCTGGTTAATTGGTCTGAAAAGTACCTCAATTATGATGCCACCTTCCTACGTAATTAGACATCATGCACATTCTGGACATTTGAAATTGTCATCAGTCTATCATTCCGCCCTCCGATGTCGTTGTAGCCACAGAATATAACAGCATGTTATTTCATGATTATCAATGGTGCGTTTAGTTTAGTCAGCTGTTGTTTTATTGCGCTTTTCAGAAATCAACTATTCTTCGTATTTATCGTGTGTATTGTCTCGAGGACTCCTATCTTTTGTCATAAACAATGTTGGATGTCATTTGTTTATATAATTTGTGTAATAACTAGTTGGGGAGCTGTTATGAGAACCAAGCTTTTAACAAATATAAAATTTGTGCATAATCAAGTACAAGTATATTAAATGTAACTTCAACATCGAGTACTCTTGATTCTTCGGTTTTTAGCTTCGATTGCAGTAAACATGTTTAATGACAGTTAGTGACGCTAAGGAATAGTAATGACATAGTCTAGCTGCTGTGACTAATACACAACCACACACAACCAAGATTGCATTTCGTGGCCATAGCATTTAATACTTGTATGTGTCTACTTAATGACTATGTCTAGCCAAAACATTGCCTCCACGATAAAAAGCAAAGGTGTGTTCATACATGTACTATGATTATATAACTGTATTATATAATTATTGACTACACTGATGACTTTTTCTTATATTTCTCATAAATTTAGTCATTATGGAGTAAGTAATATTTACATTTACAGAATTCTATTTTTGTTTTTGATGTAGGACCACCTGTTATTGTGACGGCCAGTGTACTCATTAATAGTTTCTACTCCTCTACAGACACAGGAATGGTAAGTAACGTCCATACAATGAGACGGAACAGTAATGACATGTATGTAATTGTTGTGTATAAATACGTTAGCGTTAACACTGGTAATATGGTACATATAAATAATACCTGTAAAATCTGCAGTCAATGGAAGTTAGTATGTAACCATCACCTACAAACCATTTATATGTATTAATTACACACGACATCATACGCAACCTTTATAATTATATGTGGGTTTGATTGGTCAATCAAAATAACCGGAAATAAGGTCGTTTTAATATGTAGAAAGTGTGATATCTAAAACAAAAATATGTCAGGATATGTTATCTGAATGCTGCTCCTCACATCGTCCAAATATATGTGCTATGTGCACTTTATTTGGATAAAATCGTAATCCGGAATTACTAAATCATACCGAGTATGTGTCTTGAATTCATCTGGAATTTAGCTTTCTACCAGACTATATAATATTTAAAATGATTTTATCTTTAATATCATCCACACCCTTGAAGCAATATTCTACTCTATCTCACCTATAATGTATGTATTTCTCAGCTTATTTGCTATGCCTATGCCTGTAGTACATATGGAGACTTGCAGACAAAGGTTGATGTAGAGTACGACTAGCCTTAAAATTAAAAATATTATTTTGGCAATTACAAAAACTTGTGATTAAATACAATAACATTGTTTCACAGATAATCTCCGATGGAATCAATGTTACTTATTTGATGTAAACTTTGGGTTTCCAATACAAATTATTTGAATATGACAAATGTGCGACTGTTGACACATATCGAGCAGGGTGTGCTCAATCCTTTTGAAATATCTGACATCATGGTAAACATTAGTACACTATAACGTCGATACATATTTCTCTAATTTGACTGTGCAGTGTAATGTACTTAATTAAATGTTTTGATATTGTGGATTGTTTTATTAATTGATGGCAGTCATTTAAGTCTTTTGGGGGGTTAACGATTGGGGTGCAAATATATTGTTATATAGTGTGCATTAACGTTTCCAATCTACAATTATAGCATGTTGATAATGTCATGTCGTCGGTAAAAATGAAATTCCTAATACTATTGCTGTAACAATTACGTCTAATTCAAGTTTAACAATTAGAGGTCAAATAAATTATTATTATATGTTAGATGTGATTTTAATAACTACAGTACAAGTGCTGCGTTTAAACACCATGACTCCGAATTTTACAGCTTGTGGCTGAGGTAATTATAAAAGGACAATGCTCCAACATTATTTGACTTTGAGTTAATATAGATATTTAAACGTAGGGATCTTTAGTTTCCATGCATGTATTGAAACACGTAGATGTTGAGTTTTGTCACTGTCATACGTTACTGTCATATGTGACGGCAGTACATTCGCCGCCGTATTGACTAAAGGTTGTTGGTGGACTATTGTGTTATTCATTCATTCACGCACACGTATTTGATAGTGGAAGTTGAAAGACTAGGCATGAAGATCGCTAAAACCTCTAATCTTGAAAGAGTTTCTTTGCTCAGTGTAATTTACTCAGATCGTTAAACAGAAGCATTTGGAAATACACGAGCATATCAGAGACGTGTAAATTTTCACCTGCGGCAGAAATCACCAGCCGAGTCAGATTTATTGGAGAATGTACTACTGAAATTTATGTTTGCATGCCAGGTGTTCTACATAAACATTGAAAACACCGTTTGTTGTTCACGTAGAAGTATCAACTCCATGTTGCCTTATTTTAATTTATTCGAAACTCCCCATCGTTCTCATGCGATGGATATTGTAAGCTAAGTTTATTCCATGCCGTATAACATAGCCGTATGTTACATTGAGAAATCTGTTACAATTGTATCAGAATTACAGCATGAACGCAGCCACGACATTTTATTTCCGGTAAGAGTACGATGGTTTAATGTGACTTAAAACGTACCACCCAAACCATCTATATCTATTTATATCGGAACAGGGCGCCACGCCTCTATTTTCAAATGATGTTAAAGTAATTTGACATATATTGCGCAATGTGTGAATACAGTACACATGTGTAGATTTTTGACCGTTAGTCACAGTTCTTGTAATTATGTCATATTCAAATTGTGACCAGTGTACTCGGTATCAAGACCTACATCATGATCAACCTATGAACATTTTTTATCTATAACTCGAAACATCACATGACATAAAAGACAATGACTGACATTACATTCTAGATAGCTCAATTGGTCAGTGAGTCCCCAATTGCGTGCGTGCGCTGAGTGTACTTTGAACAACACGTTGTCTGCATGGTTCTTTATAATCGATGACAAAAAAACTTAAACTGTATACTTGAAATGTGTAACGGGAAACGCAATTATTTTTATTTACGATTAATTATAAATGTTATATATTACAATCACACGATGATGAAATTAAAAATGTTTCAGTAGGTCTGACATTAAATAATACTGCCTCGAATAGATTGTGCGGCCCCTTTAACCTTACAGTAAAATACGAATCCATATATATTATAATTACGAAATATATGTCTTCTCTTTGGCTGAATTATTCATTTGTATCAGTATACACGTTAACATTGTTAAATTTGACTAAATATTGTTAGATTGCCGACAAATGTGTCGAATTATTTATGTTTCATTTCGCTCGACTAAACCCAGACATACAGAACAGTATAAACCACAGAATTTACGATGGTATATTTATATCCCATCCTTAAATAGTTTGCAGACAGTTTTATTTTCGAAGTGACAAATTCGTCTCGACGTACTTAAGCACCGCAGTCACCGTACTACTTCATGTCCGAAATTGTTCCCATGTGACATATACAAACACGTGTAAAATAATTCATTTCATTACGTGAAATTCGAACGAGTGACTTTGGCGCTTTGTCTGAAAGTCTTAATAATCAGACAATAAATAAGAGTAAACACTAAACGATTTCCCTCATAAACTCTTTAATTATCAATAATGACTATCATGCTTAAAGTCTAATTGAAGTCGCATTCCCAGATTGAAAATAAAACATCACACTGAGAAGATTTTAAGACATAAAATGTAATCAAATGTAATCAAATGTAATGTTTTCGATCAAAAACAAATTTTATGTTCAGAGTACTGTTCAGTGGGGTCTTTAAACAATGTAACTGACATTTTAGGACAAATAAAGCCTCTTAACTCAGTGAGTGACTATTGTATATAAATCTAGCTATTTTTGGAATGCCCATTTCATTCATAATCTAAAGTTAATTTCCCATTGTTCTTTCACTATCTCAACATTTGATCATGCCTAGGGGTGGTACCTTACAGGTTTGCGAAGTGGAAATGTCACTTTAAAGGTTATGCACTAGGGACGAAAGTATCTATATTTTTATGATGTTGTTAGATGCTGATGTATCAAACAAAGGGTACACACCAGGACTCTGTTATGAACATGGATATCACATTGCAGTTGGATTTCTAGTATCTGTACATATATACCGGGATTAGTCTTCCGCTAACGTGTTTGTTTTTGTCCTTGTGACAGAAAACAAACACCGTTGAGGGAAGTATAACAGACAAGAACGAAAAATACATACACGAGGAACAGAGACTAAAGTCGAACTTAACCCGGGGGGGGGACTTTCAAGCGCAATGGGGCGTGTGGCCTAATCATTTCTGATGTATTGCTTTTAGTAATTGTAAGACCATAGCTTTTAGTAATTGCATACCCACTTCTAGACCAACGTATCAGTTTTATTTCAGAGTACTGCAAAAACACATGCACAGTATTGCTACACGATATGTCGTATATGTATAGAACAGGTCAGACTTCAATATACGTGCGGCTTATGGGTAGAAGCTTGTTTGTAATCATTGACACGCTATGGCCATCTAACGCACGTGCAGGTGACGACTACCCCGCTTTAAGCATAACATAATGCAATTTAACTGTATGTACTGTTCTATAATAGGATTTTACAGTTACGTTATTTCTCCGAACACGATGGGTTGATCCCCGACTAGAGTACACTGATGATGAAACCCAAACGCTGACGTTACACTCAGATGGAGTTAATGAAGTCTGGGTACCGCCACTTTACTTCCCAGATGAGAAGTCTGGACAGTTTCATAAACTGACAACGGAGAACGTGTTGTTGAGAATATACCCTGATGGGACTGTACTACATAGTGCAAGGTACAGTTGGGTTATCTAATTTTATTGTGTGGAATATAAAGTCAATGAGTATATATTAAATTGGTACAAGACAACTTACGGAGTTACCATAAACGTATCCCCATCTTTCAAGATTATATAATCGTCGATCAGTACCACGTGCAGCCCTGTCATCAGACATCAATGCACTTACAGTCAAGAATGTGTGCGACTCCAGTGTTTCCTAAATTGCGTACGGATTGTAATAACCCCTATACGATTGTTTCATCTTAAGAATTACTAGTTATTTTCATCAGGATATTAGTACCTTTCAGGCAGAATTGAGATGTCGTTTGCTGATGAACGCTCTACCCCATATCTGAAATACAAACATGTTTTAATTTGTGTTTTAATTATAATAATGTAATTGCCGTATCGCCGCTATCAATCACTTCCAATAATCTTAGTGACAGGACTGACACTAAACACGCGACTATTTGCAAAATCTTGGAAACTGCAAAATCTTAAATGTTGTTCAAAATAGTTTCCACATCCATCTTATATTTACATGAAGAGTTGATAATATGCTGTCATGAACGGAGGGAATTTATGCGAGGTCACCGAAATAATCCATGGCGGAACTTAACTAAACTCAAACACAGGATTTGTAACTGCGCTTCGCCTGTATGCATCATTAGACTGGTAGCCAATTGTAACGAACATATTTTTTCATCCTCGGTATTAGCTTAGGCATAGACACACAATAGAATAACCGACACATCTCATACATAGTGCCTTCTCTTAAAATTGATCGTGGAACTATATATGTATAGGACATGCGTTGTATTGAACACATTTGAGCGTTTTTATTAATTGATTAAAAATATTGGAAGGGTTTTCATTGTGGTATATGAAAATATGGTCAAATTCGCATTTGGTGTTTGTAATACATTAATTAAATTATTAAACGCAAAAACAAAGAACACAATACACGTAATGTATGTTGAGTAAATTATTATTATAGATATGTTGACGTTGACATACAAATCTGATGGAATGATAAAAAACCGCGCGCAGTTCATTTTTGATTCGAAACAGACAATTATTTGCAGTATATATGCCATTTTATATGCGCGTTGCGTAAACGTTAAAGAAATATGTGCGTTTTAAGCATCGGGAAGTATCATTTAGCATTAAGTAGGAACGTGTGTGTTTGCACATACATAATTGTGTTTGAACATCGAATGAGAGTATTGTAAGGATTGTTCTGTAATTCCGTAGAATCACATTTCCCGTAGAATTGATGAAATTCTATTTATTCTGACAGATTCACTATCACATTGAGTTGTATGATGCATTTAGAACGTTATCCAATGGATGAACAGACATGCAATATGGAAATAGAAAGCTGTGAGTATTTGTCTTAACAATTTACGAGGTATAATGAGTACCAAGTCCGTGAACATGTTTGTGGTGAATAAGCCATTCGTTTGGATATCGGAAATTCATGCAAATATCTACGTAACATTCGAGCAATTTTATCTATGTTATTTATTCCGTAAGCAAACAATCTCGCAGACATGCATGTCGTAAAATGTTGTATCTCACCATGGGAAAGTCTTTAATAAAGAGATTATATTACGAGAATGCCTCGAAGACAGCACTGTCGATTTTTATACTTCGAGATATTACATACTATTAATCATTATATTATTTTGACAACTTCCGAATCGAACCCGTGCGTGATTCTATAAAGAAGTCGCATATTTAACCTTGGTGAAATAATGAATTCGACTCAGCATTTGGCAATAGACATAAATCTAAATGACGGGATGTCGAATTGTCAAAGAGAAGGCACTTTAGTACACTTGTACATGTTCCGCGGGTATTGTGGGGATGCGATAACCGAATAAGCGAGCCTTGGCTAGCGATGTCCCGCAAGCGTCTATTGTCGTGTATACATTAATAAATCATGACTTTTGTGTCCTCGCAATGTTACAAATTATTACGGCTTGGTCGTGCGAAATGTCACTATATATATATATATATATATCACTCACTGTATATATATATTAGGAGTACACGTGCTTATATTACAGTTTCTTACACAACTGTTGACTTGATTCTGCAATGGGCACCAGATGGCGATACTCTTGAAGCATTTGGTGTTCGGGAAGGAATATCATTACCGCAATTTAGGTTTAATCAAGCAACGCCAGACAGATCACGAACAACACGAAACTTTACAACAGGTAACAGTTGTTACTGTCTCGTAACACGTCGCTGTTTTAAGTGAGTAATTGATGTGACGTATAAGCATATTTGAATTTGATAAATAAGGTATAATATATCCTTGCATAAAAAAACTGCGCGGCGAGCATAATGTGAGCACCCAAGGCTGTTGAATCAACAATTATAAAATATAAATAGGTGTAATAAAGTAAGGAATTTATTATTAGGAAACATTGTGTTAGCGATTTATGTGAAAATATATCAGATATCACAGTATGTATTATCTATACTATAGTAAATCTATGAATCTACATCGACACCAATTCAATTCTGCGAGCATCGTTAGCGTATTATGTATGCAATTATCTCACTGATTAAGGTAGAGATGCAGGTTCGTGGGCACTTAGGAATGAATTTTTTTTTTTTTTTGCTTTTTATTATCCAAACAGTCTTGGCTATAGACTGTTAAAATTTTGTAGAATTGTGAATAGTGGAACATACTCAATAAACGATTTTAAAATATAGATAACATGTGCAAACATTCTCTCTTTTGAATGCTCAGAATGAATTAGCAAGGCTGTAAAAAGATATGACGGGATCTCCATATTATGCACTATATTTAACTTTTAACAAAACGATAATACATTTAAATTTGGAACTGTTACAGCTATTTGAATTATGAGCATTAGCAAACTTCTTACTGGGTGAATTGGCAATTATCTCAGCTTTCTTTTTAGTGCACATCTCAGAACTTTAAAAAAATAGCTTGTATACGCTTTGATCTTTTGTTTTGAAATTTTCACAAATGATTGACAATGTGTTTATTTTCAAAACGCCGTTGTTTTTGGTTGAAAAGTGTTACAATAATCGTACAGACAACTAGCCTTAATTTATGCATGAACTTGAAATAGTGAAATTTGAGCTGCTGCCCTGCAAAATTGACAACTGGTAGACAGTTGTCAAGACGGCACTTTCTTCATAGTAAACATATGTACCCATAAACCAATTTTTACAGGGAACAGAAGCATGGTTTAGAAGCTATTTTTTTTAAATCACTTTTGACCAAAAAAGCAAATTTTTGTGCATATTTCAAACTACAGTGTCCATAAAAAATATTAATAAAATTTTGCAATTCATACAATGATCTTTTCGAATATACATAGTTTTGTGGGCAAGGAAGGTCATCTTGGTTTCCTAATTAACTAATTAAAATACCTGTCAGGTAAACTGCATATCTACCCTAATTTAATCAGCAAAGTGAGTAATTTCAATCCGCGCCAAGCGACGAAACCCAAGGTGAATAGCGCCTGTGTATGAGGAATTTGTAATAATAGTTTAGTAATATTATATAATTAATTGCACGTTAATATTTTATTAATTTAACTTGCAGGAAATTTCTCATATCTCACTGCAACAATCAGTTTACAAAGACAGAAAGAGTTGTTCATTATGTCTAGCTATCTTCCGAGCTTATTGATTGTCGTGTTGTCATGGTTTTCATTTTGGATCAACCCGAACTCCGAACCAGCACGTGTATCACTCGTAATGACTGCATTATTAACGCTGTGTACACAGATGAATGGTATCCAGGCAACAGTGCCTAGGGTGGCGCATCTGAAGGTAAGGTTCCTCAAAGTGAGATACCGTATGAAGGTCGATATGACCTGTCCAACTGTTTGGTATTGAAATATTGACTAATAAAACACACTATAATCCAATGACTATAGTGCACATCACTCGTGAATTAGTAACATTCACTAGCTGGGCGGTCGTCAAATTCACAAATATTTTTTTAAAATGTTATGTGGGTTTAAACTGCACGTGGCAAGAGAAGGTACATTATTACAGCAAGATTATAATTTCATACCAAATATCAAGAATTAACACATAAAGCCAACTGAACATTATATTGGAAAGAAGTTAACAATTCTGAGATCTTCTAGTGCTAGAACGTCAAATAAAATTCTTGTGAATTAACAAAGAATTGCTGAGCGAAGTAAATTTGCGTCGTGGACATACGCACTGCATAAGACGTATTATTATACATCTGTCACCATAACGCCATAAGTTACAGCGTGCCGTAATTTTGCGGTATTTTACGGGGTATTTCATCCTACTATATTAGGAAATGCGAATTTCAAATATGGAATTATAACGTGCGTAAGTGTCCTCTAATTATAAAAACAAACATGGCTGCCATCGGGGTTTGACCGGATTCCACATAGAGAAGTCTGCTGATTCTGTTCTAAACATTTTGGATTTCGGCAGTCCCTAGATGTATTCTTGGAAGGTAAAGATGTATAATAATATAGTTATTACGAGGATACCTCAAAGTATGCACTAAGACAGTGCGTCGGACGATACTCCAGCTGTACTGTCTTCGTGCATACTTTGAGGTATCATAATAACCTCATATTATCCATTAACGATGTAAAATCATAAATTCTATTGCAGGCCATAGATGTGTGGATGTCAGTCTGTCTCGTCTTTGTGTTCGCAGCACTAGTAGAATACGCAGCTGTTAACTATATTAGTTTACAGACGAGAAAAAGTCGAAGAAAACAACAATCGTTTGAGATGATAAATTTAATTGAAAACAAAGAAAACAATAAAGTGAGTTGATGTGACGTCATTGTATACCACATATCGATACGTACAAATGACGTATTTGTGAATATATTCAGGCAGTCTACTAGATTTCTATAATAATTCCCTACAAATTATTATTTGGTATATTTCTAGAAACAAGTTTAATTATCATAGCATTATCTTCGAGTCAATGTTCACTTTGTGAAACTAGTTAAATAATTAATACATTAATGTGGCTAAAGTCAAGGCTATATTGGTTTCAGTTATTGAAAAGTTGGAAGTTCTCAAATGTTCACATGATGAATTTTCTTTAAGTTGTTTTGTAGCAGTTATGTAATCATACAAATGCGCCACTTGTTTTAAAAGTCGGTAAATCGTTTGGAACTTTACTCCTCAAATCTAGATGAATCAACAGCCACAAAGACTTAAGGTCTAAATATTTATATGTGTGTCATTTTTCGTAGGTAAACCATAAATCAGAGGACGGAAGAACAAGCCGTGAGTCAAAAGGTCCGGAAAGTGCAGTGATTGGCTTTCAGTTCCGTGACGTCATAGATCACGTAAGACCCGGACAAATTGATTATCACAGTCGAATTGCATTTCCTATCGCATTCATGGTGTTCAATATATTTTATTGGCCAACGTACTTGTGTTGGCTTGATTGAGTACAACTAAATGAACAGGTATAGTCTAGATTTAACCGATTAATTCTGCTTAGTTCACCTTATAATATTAAATAAACAAACTAACCTACATGAGTAAAAATCGCCATAACAGGCTGCCAAGAATAAAACATGCTATATCGTGGCATACAATATACACAGAAATGATATAAATCTAGTATGCAAAGAAACTAAACTTGTCAAATATATATCTTCATAAATTATGTATACAATGCTTGGGGCATGAAAGAGCGTTGCGTTCATTATTTCAGGAACAATGTACCAGGAAACCGTTTATTTTAATATCAGAATATGTGAACGATTACACTCATAGAGATGCATTCAATAAAATGAACCATATCGGCAAAACTCTCACGCAAAATTTAAAATAGGAGACAAATTAATGCGTTTTTAAAATTCCAAAATTAGAGACACAAGTGAATACAATTTGGAATTACGTGATATATATTGCATCATATATATATTGATAAAAAGCCTGCTTTACCATCAGATATTTGTTATAAATAATTTTGGAAACTAATTTATTTATGACGTCATTATTCACTGAATAAGGCTGATGAAATTCGTAGGATTTACAGATTTAAAAAAGGCTTGTAACGAAACGCTTCAGAAGGCCGCTCTCACCGTCGATTCCGTACTTGTTTGTTTTGTTATATTTGAATTGTTAAATTCTTAAAGTTGGACTCCTACATAACCCAAAGAGCTATTTTTAAACGTCATTAGTTGCACCCATGTACACTTATGTTTTTCTCTGAAGCCAATGAGGCTTTTCATTGCAAGCATTGAAATGTATTCGAGCCCCAAATTTTATTCCAAATGCTCAATTTAGTTTTAAGATGCCACATACAAAGTTTTACAAGTAAGTTTCTGGATTACATTGTCTTTATTTTACACAGGCATTCGCTGTTATTCCTTTAAATGTTTAAAAAAATGCAATGTAAATACATTCTTAATCGCATCCTAAACCATAAATCAATTTTATAACAATCATATTGCGATAGTACTCCAGTATACAATCTGTTTGAAAGTGTGAAAGTATCTTATTCGTGTGATTGGGTGTGTTTGCATCAGATAGGAAACTACTCATAAATGGAAATTCCCAGAATTTATTCATTTTGCAATAAAATGTACTCAAGGGCATTATACAGATAATGACATTAAAAATTTTCGAAAAATTACTGTTTTATTTTTGTGGATAGTTGATTTTGTCAGTATTATAAGGATTTTACCATAGGTAGGGATATTATACAATATCCTGAATTGTTGGCTCACCTGGTGACATAGGCTGAAAAAATCATATCTTGGTGATGATAGAAAAATGCATTTTTTTTTCTTTAACATTGTGTTCTATGGAGTTGTTTAAAAAAAATGAAAAAATATTAGGAGTTAAGTTTCCCAAAATACGTCACTTGTAACAAACAAAAGAATGTTATTTCATGTTGCTATGGGACAATAGCTCCATGAACATTATCAAGAATGAATAGACTTTATCTTATCTGGCATATACAAACCATTGTGAATATCTGTATGATTTGTGTAATTGTACTTTTGAAAAATTGTTGCATTTATTTGGTTCTGTGAATATAATAAATCACCTGTTGTGACGCCAGGTTGCAGACGCATAAATTCATCACTGTGAAAACTAATGTTTTTGGAAATAATATATGTGTGATTCTGCGAGTTTATTTACTGGTATAAATGCATGTAGTTTATCTAAGTGGTGTTTACGGTGGAAAACACATGTAAAGTAATAATCCTGTTGTTTTCGATAATTAATTGATAATTAACCTAATGGTATACGGCCGAGCCCTTTGAGGCAATTGCGGGCCGAAGGCACTATGTTTTCTTCCCAATGATTTTATATTTAGACTGGTTACACATCAGAGAATTGCGAATTTGCATAATCATTCATCGAGTGATATTTTTACAAAAATCTATACTCAATGTCTACCAATTACAGTTTTGTTAAAGGTAGTTTATTATAAATTACATGAAGATGCTGACATCTGACATCAAATTATACTTTGTATTATGTATTTATACCCTTGGCAATTGTACGGCGTTTGCAAAAATCCATTTTCTGCCCTTTTCTTTGGAATATGAGTGTTATTCGTTATGTTGCATTCAAGTTTGTGACATAACTCCGCGATTCGATGCGCTAATACCTAAAATCATTTGCCGTCGAATAATATCTGCCTTGTCTGCAACTGATATGCAAATGAGATAAAATAATACCTTCCATACTTTATTTTTTTGGCATTTGTTGCATAACTTGAACTGCCAATACTTATTTTTTTTGCCAACCAATAATTACTATGAGTGTTCAGGTTTATGTTAATTTGAATAATATAACGTCAGCAATTACATTATTATATAAACAAGAGTATCAAGAACCAATAAAAAACTATGCAAATTTGTCACGTGTCCATGAATTTTTGTTCCGGAAAATACGGCCGCAGGATGCACCGCATCACTCGTGAAAACAACTTCCATGGCAAGGTATTCTACAAATATCAACGGAAATACATGGCGTGCTGTTATATTCTTCACGGCATAGATTTCACAAATGTGCACTATCCACGTACATGGCTGCCTAAGGTGGTAAGCAACTTTGAAGGGAAAAGCGCTCAACTAGAGACAAATAGTTTGCACGTTACACAATCGGTGATATATATTGTTAGTTCTAATGTATACTATGACAATATTCAAAAACATCATTTTTAGGCTTGCAAAGAGCTTATGTGAAACTGTTGGTTTTATTCGAATACGCCACCCATCACGCTTTGCGCCGTTGTATTTTATCACGTCCAAAATATCAATCGGTCCGAATATTCACGTGTCAATTATTGTTCATGGTATAATTACTTGGCATTAGTACTTGGAAAGTGATTTATTTTACAGTGAGAAGTGCTTTTTTGGTCATATTTTCCCTAGTTTGGTAATAGTAAAAAAGTTTTGGCTGAGTGCCTTTTTTTCTGGATACAGTAAGAATTATAAAAATATAATATATAAAGTAGGATAAAATATAACACCTATGTCTCTAAAAAGTCTGTATGAACTTGATCAACAATCCGAACATACAAACAATTGCAAACATTATAGAAAATGTAAACTATAACTCGAAATACAATTTTTAAATTGTGATAAAAAAAACGCGTGCGTGCATCAATATTGGAAAAAACAAACAAATTGAAAATGGTTGATGTTGTTCTTGCTGTACTAGTATAATTTATGACCAAGTTGTTCCGGCCGTTGTCGATCGTACTAAAATCTGAAAACCCGCACGAGTGACGCTCCCATCTGATGTAAACTTCAACCAAACGTCGTTGCTATCTGATATAATGTTACCAGGAAGAGTACTTCCAGACAGATTGGTCATAACATCTACGTTGGGATCCGACCCGGTACCGATACGAAGTGTATCGTACACGCCTTCGGTGTCAAATTCTATAAAATCTATGTGTATTCTCATACCATTGAGGGTGCTGATCAACCATAAACAGTCCTCGAAGTTACCATAGTTTTCAGGAAAATTTGGAGATGCAATAATCACTTCTTGGTCGGCTCTTAAATTGATAATACTCTGACAGTTTTCGTTCATAATGGGTATTTCAGTAGCTGTAAACGGACATATAAATTATTGGTTAATAAATAAATCTATATAAAACTTATTTCGATGTTTAGCGAACATTTAAAAAAATTTTAACGTTAATCTTATATTGTATATATGCCATGAAATGCTTTATGACAATTAAGTGATTTTTCTGTTGTCATTTGTAAGTGATGTTTCCCAGTTACAATAGGGATGGTTTCATTGTGTCAACACAGGTGGCGCTATTCAGCACAGACCTGTGTCTTATGACGCATAACTAGCCTCTGAGGGCTAAATATCTATCCGCCACCATTTTACTCAGCGCTTTTTCCTCGGAACTATATACAAGTATTTTTCTTGTTTTGAACACATTTTCCCCCGATTTTTAGCAAGATTTAATCTTCAATGAGTTGATCAATAAAATACTCATCAGAATGTCTTATTTTATTAACATTAAAATGCATGTAATTTGGAAGGTCATTTAGCATTGACACGCAGATCGCCGCAAACCAACTGAATAGCGCCACCTGTGTTGACACAATGTGGAAATAGTTCCGACCACTTTTCCCAAAGTTCCACGCGCGGTATGTGTCAGATCGGTTGGTTTGCGGCGATCTGAGTGTCAATGGGGATGATTTGTCACGGGGTAAAGTTGTCAATTATGCAAATCAGGTATCAACGACCATACTAGCTCAAGTTAATTAAATAGTGAACGAGGAGCCTGAATAAATAGTCAATGATTGTATGCGTCAATATATACTCGCCTCGAACGAGGGTAGATGTAAATAAATTCTCACCTCGAATGGGGGTAGACGTTAAAACTAGCCGAAACCCTTTAGCCACAACTGAACTATCTGAATGAAACGATAGCCAAATCGTGGATATGAACATTGTAAACGGATCGGGTAGACTAGAACCAGTGAGCTGATAATTTAAATTTCCACTATTCGTATTGTCACTATCTCTGATTACAAGAAAGTCGTATCCATTCTCTGTTTGAAAATCCGTAAACAATAGGTAAAGTCCAGCGCCATCTATGGTAGAAACTTGCCATTGGCAGTCGAGGTTGTTTTCGTAGTTGTTTGGATAATTCGGTGAGGTTATAATTACTTCATCATTTTCATCTAGGTTGTAGTATGACAGTACAGTACAGGATGACATTGTGGTGGTCGGCACTGTTGGCCCAGGTGTTTCCATAATAACGTTACCAGGTATCGAGTTAGTGTTGTCTAAAAAAAAAACAATACTAGTAAGCAAATAAATTAGTTGTTCTAATTCCTCGTGTTGCTTTGAATAAAAACCAAGACATAAAGAGCATAGAATTGGGGCTATTTGTAATATTAAAACGAACAATATATTGTAAACACTTCGTATACGTGCACGTGTCATGGGGCGGAACCATATCGAGCATCATGCAGATGCTTTGTAAGTGAGACATTCTCTAAAACTCCCGAACATAGGAATATAACATGTGAGAAAATGTCGAGTTATGTCGTGTTGTAGTTCATTATCCTGAAAACCAGTGTGGCAATGTCAGTAACGCGATGTAACATAGTAAAGTGTTGCGTTTCGGTTGAGCAAATATTTTGAGCAAATAATTATAAAGACTTAACTTTCTGAAAATATGTAGGTTGTTACGATTGTTTTTTATTATTTTTTGTTATATGTTGCTTTATTGGGAATAATTAATAAGGTATGCGTTTTTATCAGCATGAGAAGTTAATATAGTAAAGAAATAATATAAAATAAATTTGTTGACAATTTGGGACAGGATAATTTGGTGATGCGATAATCACTTCTTAGACTGCTCTTAAAGTGATGCATCGACGACAGCTATGGCAAGCTGGCCATGCGCAGGTGACGACTCCCCGCTTTAACATCGGTTGTTAACTTGTTGAGCAAATAAGGGCTTAGCGATCTGTGTTGTTATAGTTACATGTTTGATTGAAGAGACTTAAATGGCATAATAGCAAACTAATTACATGTACTAATATATTTCCCTGTCAACGGTCATGTTGAATATCAATAACGCAAAATTGCATGGTAATGGGTATAGGCATTTGTTTGAATACCCTGTAACATATCATCTTATAAATCTGGAACTTTTTACTCCGTATTTTGTCTAAGTACATATTGGCACATCATCCACAATTTTGACGAAATTGACATCTAGGCAATGATACTAATTATAATAAAACAAACATATTATGAACTGACGCTTTTTGTTTCATTCGCCAAGCGTGCGTCTTACATAGACCGATCTGGCACAAAATCAGAGATAAATTTCACTCTTGGTGAAGAAAGTATCTTAGTAAACATTTTGATTGAGTAACACCCATTTCACTTTTTGATTACACGATGAGATACCGCCAGATGTAAAAAACATCACTAAAATGTGTTACCTAATATATTTTAAAATATACTGTACTTTTTTTAAACGGTATGACGGTCACACGCAAGAAAAAACACTCCAGAGCAATATCTATCTTAAGTTACTAGTTTCTGGGTGTCGTGTGTGGGACGAAAACACAAGCAATTAGACTGCCAGTTGTAAGCAAGTCTCCATATTTCCGTTTGTTTTTTGTGGAGTATCCATGGGCACCAGCCTTACAACTATAACATAAACACGTTTTGCAAATAATACTCGCTTACTGAAGCGGGGTATAACTTACCGGCCTTACACGTCAGACAGTCTGACGCTGTTTCGTCCAAGATCAAATTTTTAAAAACAGTCCTTACACCCGAAACTTTCCCATCATGATGTAGTCGACCGAATGGAAATTGCCGTTAGCATAGTTTGACGTTGAAATCAACAACGAATGCTTGTATTGCAGAAACATTGCAGTCTCATAAATTTGCGAAATTAACACAGTGGTCGACAGATGTCGCCCGGATAAACACGACTGTGACTGAAGCGGTGTTATAAATAGGTCATACCACAGGTAGCACTGTCTACGGTTATACATGCCTGACCTTCTCAGCAAAATTATCGTTTTATGGCAAATCAACCTTATAATGCTCTTCGGCCTGAACGTAGGGCTCTCATCCTGCCGATGTATTCCACCTCGTCGCTTATTAGACCAACAACATTTTTGAAGGACATTTGCTGTAACTAACTTTTAGTATTATATATTAAGTAATTCGTACACTCCTACAGGAAAAATAATGTATTTTCATATTACATCAGAGGTCGACGCTAAGATCAGACAGATTGGAAAACACTAAACCAGAGAAAACTCATCCAGTTCAATGTAAACGAGCGTAACACGCAAAAGGAAAAATATTAAAAATGCTTTTTTAATAATTTAAATTCGCAAACGCGACCAAACTAATGATAAATAAATATTGTTCTGTTGTTGTTGTTGTTTTTTGTTTTTGTGACGTCAATCACGCGTTCGATGCCACAATTTATGAAACAAGAGCGGTAAATTGTATAACAAACTAGGTAAGGGTTCGACCATTTGATATCAGGGGGTGGCTGAAAGATTTGCAGAAACAAATTGTTGACAAATTTCCAAAATAATGAAAATGAACAGACAAAATACCTCGAAAAAATACACTTGTCATACTCTTACAGCCACGTCCTGTGATTCAAAATGTTTTACTCTAACCAATTATAGGGATTTGTCAACATCTAGTGGTATCTCACCGTGTAATCGAATGATAAAAAGGAGTAAGTGCTTTTCTGAATGCATTGTGGTTGATGTGGAGGTTGAGATAACATAAACCTTCTATTTATACAATTTGAATATTTTCTAATACAAAATGGCCACCAAAATAGTCTCAACGCTACGGAGAGATCGCTAAGTCATCAATTCTATATTTATTGGATGGAAACCTATCCCATTGCACATAAATTTATTATAAATTAACCAAAAATGACAGAGAACATCGTAAAATATTTATCACTTTTAAATAATTGTATTATATGGTTGGAAAACATCATGGCCAAAATGCGAAACATAAATACTCAGTGTTCTATTCTCCCCTAGCGACGATTGGCTTTTGTTGAAATAAAGGCAGTTCATAAGAATGCTGTTTTTTTTTTTGCAATCACGAAAATGTAATACATTCGGGGTACTTATATAATAAATGACAAACAAACACAGCCGAGCCATATTTTTGCTCTGAACAGGATTGCTTTCGCATATTTACCTTTGACTCGTCGCCAGAGGACGCCACTCATTACAGAACTAGGTCCTACAAGCTCAAAATTCATTTTTTTCCAGCATTTCTTTTGTTTTCAAACTACAGAGTATTTTACGTACACATCCACAGTAACAATAATTCTCAATTCGTTTTCAAACTGTTTTAGTTATGAGTTTTATTGATTCCAAAAGCCAGTTCATCAATGTTTATAAAGTTTTGTATTGGTCAGTGTTTTGCACAAGTATTTGGTAGCCGTGCCATTTATGATGATACCTCCTTGTGGGATGTGTCAATTGTTATAAGATTTAATGGACCTTAGGGGGTGTAAATTGCTGGCCACACAGCCAAATTAACATGGCCGTATCGCTGCCGTCGTCGACGAAAACGATCAATTTGCAAGTATTTATTACCAGTTCTGTTAAAAATTGCGTGTTCTGGTTTTATATACTATATAACAAGACGGTCGCGCAAAAAAGCCCATGATATTGTTAAAACAAGGCCAATTTTACATGTTAACTTCCATGCACTGAGCGTCGGATTTAGTACTGTGATACCAATCTGTAACGATTATGAACTTCGTTACGTATGGACTAGTTTTGTAATGTTACTGGAAAAGTGTGTATACTTTCACACACGTTCGAGTTTGGTTTCATACACATTCCGACCATTCCAGAAAAAATTTGAAGTAGTGGGATGCTATTAAAGTAACTTGTGAAACATAATTATCACACGGCACATACTCGCGGCAAGGTTTTCGCCTCAACATAGCTAGATGAATGAGATCTCAGTGCTATATTGACAACGTGGAATCGTGCTCATATGCTACCAAAAACCGATATGTAACAGGGGATGACAAATTTCACAAATAAGAACAAGGTAATAACACTACGATAAAGAATTTACGTTTTGACATAAGAAAAAAAAACGGGGAAAAAAATTTAGTATATTCAGATCGTTTTATAATCGAATGTGTTCCATGTGCACACCAATAATTTTCATAATTATCAATTAGACAAGAATATTAAAGACAAAGCGTAATGTGTCATATATAAATTTTGTTGCATTTTATTTATCTTAAAGCGCGGTAGTCGTCGCGCTGCGCATGTGCGAGATATATGGGTCTCATATAAACAAAGATGGCGACTTTGACTGTTGCGCAGATCAACGAGTACAAGCTGAGACGTTTCCAAGCTTTAATTAGGTAATTTTCATGTGATTGGAAGGTATCGAAGGTGTCACCGGCGGTAATCACTGCAAGTCGCGCCCAGGTTAAACCTAATACTTGTGATTTTCATTTGAAGAGCGCATTGGATTGTGGGAAAATCAATGTTTATCAACACAAATGTCGAACTTGCGCAGCGTGACGACTACCGCGCTTTAAATAATGACTGAAAGCAGCTGAATGAAATTTCAAATTATTTAATGTATTCAACAACACATGTATGAACAATAATCTCAATAAATACGACTTTATTTGGTAAAAATAAAATCGAGAGAACTTGAATTTCACAATGTCTAACAAGGCATATCTTTATCGCAGTGTTTAATTGGACATAAGACCGTTGCGACTCCCTTGAGGGGCTAAGAGACTTGTTTACCACCCCACCCCAATAGTGTTCAATTATCTTTCATCGAGGTCACTATTTCCTCTGCCCATGACACCATAGTATTTGGGTCAATAGACGCGACGGTGGTTGAATATGAAACACTATCGGGGATTGGGCTAAACCAAATCTTGTGGCTCTCTCTCGCTCTGAATAAGACCTTGATTGTCATTTGCAAATAAGATTTACTGTTGACCTATATAACATGTGGGTTGTACATAGTCCCTCTACAAAAGACTGTGTTTTGTGTGATGCCACAATAAACGGCCCAATCAATCGTAATCTTCTTTTTTTAAATTCCCAGAATCAATATGGGAAAATGTTGGAAGAAATGTGACATGTTTCGAATTTCTAATAGTCATTTGTATGACAAAATATGTACATCAAAATTATTAGACAAGTAGTTCAGCAAAGAAGATGAACAGCAGACAGCAGGCCGACAAAGCGGTAATGGATGATTACTAGATTTTTTTGGTGTAATCAGCTGACATGAATGCGAGTAAGTAAGCACAATTTGAAAAAAAAGGAAAGACAAGAAAAGAGGACAGCTCACTTCAATAATGTCGAATAGATGAAACACTAGGTACTTACAAGAGTATTATTATGGAAAACCTTCAAATAATAGTAATTGTATTTGCCCTCGTTGTAGACATAACATTTTTTTAAAAAAATAAATAAAATACATGACGAAGTACGTGCTTATGAATATCCGAAATGCAAACAAAAACAATTTTGAAAGATAATGTAAATAATTTTCAGTATTTTTGAGTATGTTCAAATAATTTTGTTTCTTGAAAATGCATTTGTTCTAGTGCGCATGTGTTTCAAATAACATGTAAATGTGGGCACATTGAACAAACATTATAATTTGTTGTCAAAAAAGCGTTTGTATTTCACGCTTAACCACACTCTACTAGCAAAAACATAGAAAACAGAATTCAGCTCAAAAATGCTTGAAGTTATCTACATTTTCGTTTTAATACAAATACAAGTTGTTATAAAAGAAAACAAACATTATGGGGTTATTACCTGATATCACTTGTTTGTAGACCAGGTTGACACGAGTAACGTCATGGGGTTGTTTTTTCACGAACCGGCAAAAACAAATACAAGAGAAAAATAATTTTTCGAAACTACGATTACGAATCATTCACGCCAAATATGCAGGCACCTACACGCGTCGGCAGATACGTATTTGTAGTTAGGATTGCCGCTTGTTTTATTTGTTAAATCGGTAGAAATATTTAACAATATTCTCTCAAAATAATAATTTAGTCTTCGTGAGTCTGTGTGAACAATTAGTGTTATCCAGTCTGACATATCTCATCGATAAAACGGTACTGTCACACGATTTGGTTTTCTCAATCACAACAGACGTAAATACTGTGAATATTATGCGCCAACATCGTGCTATAAGAATTTGATTTTATATGAGTGCGATCATGTTTGTAAAAGCATGATGTCATGTATATTTCATAAATTTTACTCTTATTCTCAGCACAGATTTTCTCACTTAGTCGTTAGTCAGCATACATAGTAAATAATTCTACAAATGCATCAAATTTTATTATAATTATGTTCAAAATTGTGTAGATTGAAGTGACAAAGTAGAAAAAAGTATAGAGCATTAAGCGAATGTGAGACTCGGCATAGACAGATACAACAGATATGTAGTCATGGAATGGCCGCGTATGCATACATTTGTACAGCGTTGCAACTGGTTCCATTAACGAAGTCGTATTATGAGATTTCTGAATCACACGCATGATAATGGTAAATATGAAAGTATTTACAGAGATAGTGATACACAAGTAATTGGTTGATTTGATGAACAATACACTTATCTGAGATATACATTATATAAACATTGAGAGGCTGTATCCCGCGTGACTGGACGCTATTTTTTACCTTCGCCAGTCACAGCGACCACAGCAAACTTGAATCCGATTGCGGTTACAGATGCATCTGACTGGAACTTTACCCACAGTGAGGAGGTGGTTGAGGAAATGTCAGTCGGTAAAACAGATCCCGATAGAAAGTAATCCGTTGTCCCTGTGTTCGGGTCGCCCTCTCCCACAAACAACACGTCATAGCCTTCCTCGGTTCCAAAGGTGATGAAAACAATGCGAATAAGAGCGCCGTCAACGGCGGAAAATGTCCATAAGCAGTTCAGACTGTTGTCGTAGTTATTCGGGTAGTTTGGTGACGATATAATATGTACTCTGTCAACAGAAACATCGTAATGTCCACTGCAAGAAATAGAATTGGTAGTTGTAGAAACTGGCAAGTCTCCCGTAGACACGGTGCTATCCGTTACTTCAGTGTTCGGTCTGAAAGGCGTGGGTGGTAATGACGGTGACTCTAATACAGAAAGAGAACATGTCGTGTTTAAAAAGTCATGACTGAAAAAAAAAACGTATAATCAGTGGGGGGATTGGGTGACATTAACATCTGATCTGTCGTCGGCTGTCACCCAAACCTGCCATGCTATACTTAACTGCTATACTTAATAAGGTTTTGAGTGCCACGCCATTATGCCGTGGGTTATACAATTTCGTCTATTTCAAGTTACTAATTCGAAGTTACACAGTTGCGTTGATGGTCATCGAGTTAGTAACTCAAAGTCTTATAATTGTGTTCACGAATACAATTCGATTTACAGTTTGTTTGGCTCGCACTAAAATGGAAAAATGGTGGCTGTAATCGAATACTAACAACCACATATAGTCATTAGAAACGACAACGCATGCGCAGCGACGCAGCGTGTCGACCTACAGCAGACGACCGCTTGTATTCACTACAACACGTACCCATCTAAACAACATTACCAACGGTAGTGGCTAAAAGAACCAACTAACAGTCCAGCGCGCCTAATAACCTTTATTGTAATTTTAGTAAAATTGTAACGTTGAAACAGCATTAATATCCAACGTTAAAAAAACATTGGAGAATTGGTTGTATTTGTTTGTTGAAACAACGTAAGATTTCGATGTTGAAGTTGAAGCAACATCAGTATTTAACATTCAAAAAAAAACAATGTAACCGTTGTTGAATCAACGTTATATAAGTACGTCGAAATTTCATTAAAAATACTAGCACTGACAGCCACGGATTAGGACAGAGATTCAAATATAATCTTTTTTTTTGTTCCAGACATTTTTGGCGCAAATCGCTTGTGCGAATGACGACATACAGTGAAGGTAAAGTTTCCAAATGTCGACCAGATGACTTGGCCTTCGCACGTTGAATGTATTATTTGCCTGCTGAAATGCGGCATCTAGCGTTGGGAGATTGGCCAATAACAGACCAGATAATACCCTATTACCACTTACGGTAAGTAAGAAGCGCGCTTATTGGCTTGTTATGTGGCGTGTGCTTCATATTATATATTCAGTCTACCCGCTTTCCAGAGTTCGCTGCTACTGACAAAACAAAAATCTGGTGATTTCTCGTCGTTTTGATCAGAGTACTGTTTAATTATTTAAATGTTTTTGTTCCCAATTTCTTGTAATCGTGACTTTTTTCCGTTGCAGTGGATTTGCAACTTCCCCATAGTTATATACATGCGAATTTGGCATAGTGGTTGTTACAGTGGACACATGATCCAGTTGACCCGAGTTGAGTTCAGTACTACAAACACAATACGAAATCCAAATACACAATATTCTGGTCGACGTTTATGAACGTTACATTGGTTAAGTTGACGACCGTGCCTGGTTGACACCGTGATAGCACATAAATTGCTGTAACAGTATTATGTCACACGGCCACGTGTAGTCCTAAACAATGGAAAATAACACTGCGGCGTAATGCACTATATGTCTGCATTCACGCACGTAATTTTAACATAAAAAACATGTTTGGCACAAAGTATTAAATAAAAACAGATTACAATCGAATCCAAATTACGTGATGGCATATGCATGTAATTTATAACTTATAATGTTGATTCAACGTCAGTTCAATTACTTTTCTTTCAACGTTGGCATTTTACTAACAAGTCTTTTCGTTGGATACTCAAGTTGTTCAGACGTGAAAATCCTACAAGTTTTCAACGAACATATATAATCACATTTTCACGTGGCTTCAACGTTAAGTCCACATTGTTTCAACGTAATCGACCCGAATGAAAGATTACGTCGCAATTAATTGGATGTACGTTGTCCACCGTTACCAACACAGTTTCGACACTACAATAATTAATCAAGATTAGAAAACCTCCTGTATTCACTAAAAGCACCAACCCATAGCAGACAACTACTTGAAGTCACTAAAAGCACCAAACCATAGCAGACAACCACCTGTATTCACTAAAAGCACCAACCCATAGCAGACAACCTCATGTAGTCAATAAAAGCACCAACCCATAGCAGACAACCACCTGTATACACTAAAAGCACCAACCCATAGCAAACAACAACTTGTAGTCAATAAAAGAACCAACCCATAGCAAACAACCACCTGTATTCACTAAAGGCACCAACCCATAGCAAACAACCACCTGTATTCATCAAAGGCACCAACCCATAGCAGACAACTACATGCAGTCACTTAGAGCACCAACTAATAGCACCTGTATTCACTAAAAGCACCAACCCATAGTAGACAACCACATGTAGTCACTAAAAGCACCAACCCATAGTAGACAACCACATGTATTCACTAAAGGCACCAACACATAGTAGACAACCACATGTATTCACTAAAGGCACCAACCCATAGTAGACAACCACATGTATTCACTAAAGGCACCAACCCATAGTAGACAACCACATGTAGTCACTAAACGCACCAACCCATAGTAGACAACCACATGTATTCACTAAAGGCACCAACCCATAGTAGACAACCACATGTAGTCACTAAAGGCACCAACCCATAGTAGACAACCACATGTAGTCACTAAAAGCACCAACCCATAGCAGACAACCACCTGTATTCACTAAAAGCACCAACCCATAGTAGACAACCACATGTAGTCACTAAAAGCACCAACCCATAGTAGTCAACCACATGTATTCACTAAAAGCACCAACCCATAGTAGACAACCACATGTAGTCACTAAAAGCACCAACACATAGTAGACAACCACCTGTATTCACTAAAAGCACCAATCCATAGTAGACAAATACCTGTATTCACTAAAAGCACCAACCCATCGTAGACAACCACATGTAGTCACTAAAAGCACCAACCCATAGTAGACAACCACCTGTATTTACTAAAGGCACCAACCCATAGTAGACAACCACATGTAGTCACTAAAAGCACCAGCCCATAGTAGACAACTACATGTGGTCACTAAAAGCACAAACCCATAGCAGACAACCACATATATTCACTAAAAGCCCCAACCCATAGTAGACAACCACCTGTCACTAAAAGCACCAACCCATAGTAGACAACCACCTGTATTCACTAAATGCACCAAGCCATAGTAGACAACCACATGTAGTCACTAAAAGCTCCAACCCATAGTAGACAACCACTTGTATTCACTAAAGGCACCAACCTATAGTAGAAAATCACATGTAGTCACTAAAAGCTCCAACCCATGGTAGACAACCACCTGTATTCACTAAAGGCACCAACCCATAGCAGACAACTACATGTAGTCACTAAAAGCACCAACCCATAGTAGACAACCACATGTAGTCACTAAAGGCACCAAGCCAGAGCAGACAACCACATGTAGTCACTAAAGGCACCAACCTATAGTAGAAAATCACATGTATTCACTAAAGACACCAACCTATAGTAGACAACCACCTGTATTTACTAAAGGCACCAACCCATAGTAGACAACCACCTGTATTCACTAAAGGCACCAAGCCAGAGCAGACAACCGCATGTAGTCACTAAAGGCACCAACTTATAGTAGAAAATCACATGTAGTCACTAAAAGCTCCAACCCATAGTAGACAACCACCTGTATTCACTAAAGGCACCAACCCATAGTAGACAACCACATGTAGTCACTAAAGGCACCAAGCCAGAGCAGACAACCACATGTAGTCACTAAAAGCACCAACCCATAGTAGACAACCACCTGTATTCACTAAAGGCACCAACCTATAGTAGAAAATCACATGTAGTCACTAAAAGCACCAACCCATAGTAGACAACCACCTGTATTCACTAAATGCACCAAGCCATAGTAGACAACCACATGTAGTCACTAAAAGCTCCAACCTATAGTAGACAACCACATGTAGTCACTAAAAGCTCCAACCTATAGTAGACAACCACATGTAGTCACTAAAAGCTCCAACCCATAGTAGACAACCACCTGTATTCACTAAAGGCACCAACCCATAGTAGACAACCACATGTAGTCACTAAAAGCACCAACCCATAGTAGACAACTAACTACCTGTATTCACTAAATGCACCAAGCCATAGTAGACAACCACATGTAGTCACTAAAAGCTCCAACCTATAGTAGACAACCACATGTAGTCACTAAAAGCTCCAACCTATAGTAGACAACCACATGTAGTCACTAAAAGCTCCAACCCATGGTATACAACCACATGTAGTAACTAAATGCACCAAGCCATAGTAGACAACCACATGTAGT